CGCCCTCTGCCCAGCCCAGACCACGCCGTCCTCAGGCTTCTCCTCGGCCTCCCCTCCTCGGACACCAAAGCCACTGATACAAACAAGTAACGCACACACACACGAAGTACGCTTGGCTAGTCAGCCGAGTTAACTGACTTGCTCATGTGGCTTCTCAGGAACAAGGACCATGTGTCTGTTGCACCAGAAAGTGGAAGCGAACGGTCACAGCGGGGACCTATCGAACTGTCTAACTAGATGGAATTTTAGATCTCTTGCCTGATTATGCCAGCAGCATCTGGGATGGCTTATGATGTCAAAAACACTGCAGTGAAAAGAAAGCCACTTTGAAGATTCACTTCCTGGTCTATCCCATTTACAGAAGACCAGCTGTTGTCCTGCTTCTGAAATCTGAATACTGAGAGTCAGGCTCTCTCTTCCGCATTACTGTGCTTACGGACAGCTGGATTCACTTCTAACGCCGTGTTTCCCTCTCTTCCCCCATGAAAAGGAAGATTAATGACGGACGACGACCCACCTGTCGTAACTCCTGGACTTCATCCTTTAGTGCATACACGGTGTCGACGAGACTCCTAGGCAGAAGAGAAGGCGCCCTGAACAAGGACCGGGTCAGAGGGGACGCCCGGAGCCTCCCCGGACGCACATGCTGCCCACCTGCCCTGCACGCCCAGGCCCTAGGTCCGGGGAGGCCCACTTCTGCGCACAGGGGCGCTGACCCCAGCCAGAAAGTCCACACCCCGGCCCTCCTGGAACCATCCTGAAGCCGGTGCCACCCCTCCCCCGACAACCCCCTTCCCCTGCCCGCTTTAAAGCACTGGGATACAGCTTACTTTTCTTCTATCACTGTCTGACCGTTACTTTTAGTTTCTTCAACTATAATTTTCTCTTCTTCTGGAAGCAAAACTTGTGGCGCAGATTCTTTGCGTGAACCTATCATCATTTAAAACAAAACAAAACACCCTCAGGTAAATACCATGGCAGAACTAAAAGGAGAACTTGACTATACAACACTACTTAATTATTAATATTAAATTCCAGGTGTTAATTCCAGTATGTTAAAAAATATATTTTCTAGGTAAAACAGGGACGGGCAACTTTTAAAAACTCCCTCTACCTCTGTGTACTGAACCCAGCCTTCTTCATGCCTAAAGCATGACAGAGGAAAGGAAACATTGGCTTTTTATGCAATCTATTAAGCTTCAGTTTCTTAATCTGGACCATGGATCTTTTAAACCCTGAAACCTTCAACAGAAGGTTCTGACCGTCTTGCCCGGGACATTCTGGAGGAAATATTCGAACTCTTTAGGGGTATTCGTATCAACCAAATTCTGTGCCATTTTATTCCAGGAATTTTACAAAGACCCATCGGATCATGCAGGAGACATGTACCAACTGTTTATCAAGTCAATGAACTGGCCCTTATGACACGTAACTCCCCAGCAACGGCTAACAATGTTACAGCCCGTGGTTAAGAAAAGTGCATTTTATTACTTGGTTCTCTTACGAAAACTTTATTTACATTCCCTGGCATATAAACGTTTTTCCAAAAGGAAGGAAGTAAATTGTTTACAATATCAGAGGAATGTTTACGTCATTTAACCAAGACCCAGCACAAAGGCCTGATAAATATTTACTGCAAAATAAGTACTTCAGAAATTAACTGGGAAACCCAAACGTTATAAAAGGTGAAAAACGAGAATCCAATCTTATTTAAGGGTGCAAGGAAGAAAATAAACTTTTTAAAAGGTTATACTATACAGCACTAACATATATCACTTATATTTTTGTAAAATTACATCAGATGCACATTCGAGGAAGGACAGAACCCACCACAGACCCACTGCGACTGGTGTTGTGATAAACGCAGCTTCTCTCCGTTAAAATACGCGTGACGTCGGATACATGCTCATTATCACGGAGATGGCGGCTCGGCTTGCTTGGTCTTGTTTCTTTCCTGCTTTACCCTTAGTTTGCCCTCCCAGAGGTCTGTCACACTGTAAGACGGCACTTGTGCATCCTCACGTCGTGGGGACATTGCGTATAACACACGTTTTCAGGACAGGACTTAATGGTTTCACCAGCGTTTTACTGCAAGCTTACACTCCTCTGAACAGAACAGGGCTGGTGGTTACTGTCAAAGCCTGATGACAAGAGACTCATTCGATGCTCCTGACATCCAGAGAACACGTCCGTCACCCCCAGGGCAGCTCATGACATGGAGAGGAGGACCGCCGTCTACCTGCCCCGGGAGCCTTCCCACATGCCCCCTGCGTCTGCAGGGCCCGGCTCCACCCCCGCCCCACAGGCTGGGAAGGCTGCTTGGACGCCGACCTCCTTCTCCTTTGCTGTCTCAGGCAGAGGAAACTTCAGCTCTGGGTGGGCAAGGACAATTCCATGTTACACAGTACGAACTTCTAGACAGATAAATAGGTACCTCACACCAGTAAAGGAAGGGCTTTATGTGTCCTGAGCAGAACTTCCGTATTATAATCATAGACAGTACTTAGAATTCTGTCACAAGCCGTAACGAGCTGGTGTATCGGAGCATATCTGTACTTAAGTTTGTCGATTACTATTTCAAAGACGACCCTCCGCTAGTGCCTTCGTGTTCACACCGAGGTGCGGGCCCCCAGTAGCTGCAGCTCTGGCTGTCGGGGGAAGGGTGGTGCCCGGCTCACACCCCACCCAGCACAGTGACCTGCGCGGCCAGGGGGTGACTTCTCAGACAGAAGGCGACATGGGCCCACAAAGGGACACACCATGAAAGGCTTCGTCACGCTGACAGCCGTGGGCTGTTCCGGGGCCTCCGTGCGGGGCTGCAGGCACGGCGTCTCCCAGGCCTTTCTCAGTAAACGGGAAGTGCTCCTGGGACGTCTGGGCCGTGTGGGAACGTGCTGCTTGAGAAGGAAACGCGCACGTGAAACACACGACGGAGGAAAAGCACAGGGACGCTGCCAGGTGACGAATTCTGAAGGTCGAGAAATTCCTGCGCTTCCGACACAAACGCAAATGCTACCCGTGTTTTCATCAGGAAAAGTGAACTCGGGTTATTTTCCTTAAAAACAGACAAGGATTCCTAAAGATTCAGAGGTGTGTACCACACGGACGGACAGTGAAGGGGCCCACTTAGTTTTCCCTGTAAAGAGAAGCAGGCAGGTGACATCAGACCACTTAGCGCCTGAGGGTTCCCGCTGTTACCTGCTTTGCGCTCAGACGTTGGTTGCTGTGTTACCGCCAGATCAAGAGCTACCCGTGGTGTACCTGTCACGTTCGGTTTCTAATACAACATTTCTTCACGTGAACTAGCTAATGAGACAACAGGCTGGAAACGTTTTCTTACGTAACAGTGCTTTAGCGAAGACTAAATTCCATGTATTTCAATTACTTTTGCATCTTCTAGCTTCCTAGGCAACCTATTTACATTACGTGTTTGCAGCAGTAAATTCTTTAAATAACACATAAAATAGAATCACGAGGGACGTCCGCCCTGGGAAGCGCGGGTCGGAGCACAGCGGGCTGTTGTGCAGGGCCCGGGGCTGCAGGGACTCGCTCTCACGGGTCCGTGGGTCTCAATAAACTCGGGCCTGTCACCGATCCGCGGAGCCTCAATTCCACCACCCGTAAGAGAGAACAACAAAACAAACACCTCTGCAGAGCTGTTCTGGGGGTTAATTTAAAAGTTGCATCTTATAGATATGTTTTACCAGATGAGTTCGTAAATATAAAAGCCTTACACTCCACTATGTGATGTGACTGAATCAGGGGAACTTATTAAACGTGTGGGAACTGGTTCAAGAACTGCCCAAGCAAGACAGACGTTGTTCTTATTTTTGCCAATACACTTAAAGCACACAAGGAGGCGACAAATGTAAGTATGAGAATGTTACGTTATAGACAGGATGTACTAACTGCTGGGTTCCTGAAACGTGCCACGGTGGAAAATGTCATTTATGGATTTGATGGTGAGCCAGGAGGCTTGTAGAGGAAGATTATTTATCAGCCTGAAGAGAAATCCATGGGCCTCCTAGTTTCAACATAACATAGTTTTGTAAAACAACTGAAAAAAATTGATAGTCTTTCAGTAAAACAACAAAGGAGTATTCTCCAGCCAGGTTTATACATAAGTTGACTATTTCTATAAGAACAAAGTTCTAGAGAGTAGATAGATTTAACGAGCTCTCTCAAAGATCATTTTAGTATTTTTAAAGGCACCGCAGCACCTTTTCTCTGAATTGGTTAGGTTGGAAAAACCATTTAACAGCACAACCACCAGACACTGCTCTCTCACTTTACTTAAAATCCTCTAAAAGGGGCCGAGACACAGATGAGTGTGTTCACGGATGTTCCAACACACTCAAGATCTGTGTTTCCCAAACTCTGTACTAAACACGAAGTTTTGTGCTTCCAAGAGATAACTGGGATTCTGCAACACGTAACTGGGAAATTCTGAATGCTGTAGCCACCTCCTGGACATTCACAGTGCACACTTAGCATGCTGAAGGTTTTCAGGAAAAATACCCATTTAACTTGAATTCAGCATTTCCTAAGCTTGTCTGAGTGCTGAACTTCCCCCCCCCCCATCATCAGTATTAACATTTTGCAGTTTTCTGGTTAACAGTTTGAGGAGTGCTGGACTGGCCTATAATCCCGCCTGTGTCTATGAATACACACACACACACACACACACACACACACACACACACACACACACACACACACACACACACACACACACACGAGTGCTGGGTGGCTTTGTTGTTGTTCAGGATGGGGATGAATACAATGAAATAATAATCATTAGCGCCAATCCAGCCACCAGCGCCCGCTGACAGGGATGCGGCAGTTCTGCACTGCCACCAGAAGGGGCCGCTCTGTGCCCTCAGCTGGAGACGGAGCAGGTGCTGGGGGCCATGAACTCACTCAGATGTGCGATCCAGAAGCTGGAGACACGGTCAGAACCCTGTCCTCTAAAACAGTCACAGGTCGCCAGAGAACTGTGGACCTTAGGTTGAGAAACACAGATGCATGCAGCACTCCCACCTCCTGGACAGAGGACCTGCCCAGGCAGCAAGGGCCTCAACCCAAGGTGCCACTGTGGTGGTCAGACTGCCACCTGGTGCCTCATCAGAGGGCCTGCGGCTCTCAAACCCAGGGCACATGTGGTGCGTCTGCCCCTGCGAGGGGGTTGGCCTGCACTGAGAGCCTAAAAACAGGGTAGGTTTGTCAGGAGAGAACATCTGCTTATCTAGCCAGCGGTCCAGCACATTTGTAGCAAAATTCCCACGACTTCTTAAATTCGTAATCTTTCTGAAATCTGCATCTACTTATACTCAACAGACACTGAAGTAACTTTCAGAATGAAACAAAATGTTACATTTAAAAAAAAGTCTACTGAGTAAAATCTCTCCGAAAGGCCACTTTGTTATTTATGGCTATGATAAGCTTCCAATTCGTTTTTCTTAAAAAACAAAAACACGAGGACCCTCTTCAGAGAGGGATGTGCATTTGTTTATCGTTTGCACCTTGTCCTGGCCCCATACCTGCCACAGGTACTTGTTTTCCTTTCATTCTGCTTTTCCTAGTCAGCTGGACATGCACTTTACCAAACAAAGATTAAAAACTGATCTCAGTCTCGGTAAGAAACGTTCAAGTCGGGGCTTTTTTCCGTTTATGCACACATCCCCACCCCTATCAAAAAAGAGAGAACTCTTCTTTCTGAAAACAAACATCCCAGTGATTGAAAACTTGTTTTAAAAAAAATTCGAGGAGAACAGATGAAATAAAAATATACAAAGAGTCACCTTGCATCGTCCAGAACACACTTAACCTAAGAAGGTGCAAGCTTTGCTATCAAGGCAGATAAGAGGTGTTCTACTGCCCGGCCTCCCTGCGGAAGAGGCTACATTCAAACAGCAAGCGTCAAGCTGCAAACTCTGCTACGCCCTCCGCCCCACGTAACAAATACTAAAGGCCACAGGCTAGCAAATGCAGAATTTATTTCAACTGTACATAACAGATGTCTTTTTTATATATATAAAACAAACACTTCATTGCCATATGCAACCACAAACAATATGCATACTGTACAGTACAATGCAACGTTCAGGTATACATCCCACTGAGTCTCAAACGGCAGTCACCCAGTGAAAATGGCTTTCCCGTTCACAAATAAAAAGCACAATATATAGATTTTTTTCAAGGTCTTATACCACTATATACAAATCACTGTGTTTTCGCAATTTTATGCAAAACACATAATTAATATAGCTTATATACTTGTGGCAAGTGTCAATTCAATGGGAAACCGTTTAGGCCATTTGCAAAAGCGCCTGGTAATGGCTTAAACCTACCTTCTAGTTCAGATTCTTCACCCTTTCGTTATAATACTAACTGTACACATAGATATTACAGAATTGCATAAATGTAAGGTACTATTTCAGCATGACTAAAGTTCCACCAAAGTAGAAACACTGGCCTTGGGATGCCACATCACTACTGCCACATGAGAACTGTTTTCAAGCCAGTGGCACTAATACTTCCAACCAGGTCACAAGAGCTAATGGTGCCAGACATCAGAACAAATCCAAACAAACAAATAGCCAGGTTGTTATTCTGCAGTGATCTTAGCATCAACAAAAAAATCATCGTCAAAATGGCTTTAACTGGCACAAAAAGGAATGATGAGAAAATGTCAAAACTTTGGTGTACAGAATATCAACGAAAATGTCTCATCAGGACAACCCAAATGACACTTGGTGTTAAAGAGAAACCCAAGTGCAGCAGCTGTGGTGCACACAGCACATGACACGACAACCCAGACTCACTAAGGCATGGTCGAGGCGTGTAAGCCAACACACGTTATCACAGTCTCCGAGCAAACAAAAGACCCTCTACTGTGAGTATCAGAAAAGCTGCAATGTGTTACTTGATGTGATATAAAGTAAAACAAAACGCTTCTAAATTCACTGCATGATATTAAGTATGTGAACCTTGGAGTTATCCTATTTCTCCCACAATCCCATTTGCTATGAACGTATGTATATAAGCCCGTCTCTACCACGGGTGAATACTGGGCTCCGACGAATATTAAAAGATTGCTCCTCCACTTTCTTATTCATACTAATTGATACAAAAACTTGAAACCTCCAGATGGCATAAGTAGTTGAGTAGCTACCTGGGAACAACAGACAGACGTTTGGATTTCCTGGTTTTCCTAACCACCTCCCTGCATGCAGTTCTGAGGGTGCCGGCTCCCTAAACAATGGGGGGGGGCCTCCTGCCGGGAAGGATGGAGGGCACCTCGGGCTGTGAGCAGTGGGACCAGCCCCCCGACACAGGGCGGAGCACAGCAGAGCCGCTCTGTGCAGACAAGGTCAGAACACCGAACACATGGTTTTGGCGGGGGAGGTGTGGCGGGAGCAGAGGGTCCCGGCCACCCTGAAGGGAGGAGAAAATGTTCCTCCCACTTATTACGGCATCTCGTTTTCTGAAACTGGTTTCAAGGAGTCCTTAACACACCACCTCCGGTCCCACCTGAACGCCAAGCCAGGCGTGCGCGGGAGGGACCCCGCTCTCCTCTCCAGCGTGGACCGGGTGTGGACTGAGTGCTGCCGCCGAATGCAACGGGGCGCATTCAGTTCTTGCTGCGGCAGAAATCGGTCTGAGGGAGGGCAGTGAGGTCTCCTTACAACGAATCCCAGGGAAGCGGGGGGGTCCCTCCAAATCTGAGACGTTCTTGCAAGTGAGTTACGTGGCGACTCAGCAGGTTTTCGGGCGACTCATAACCCCGTTACGATCAAGAGTGAGGGTGACGTTCCACCGGGGGCCGTCCGGGGAGTCTCACGGCAGCTCTTGCTGAAAAGCAGCCATGCGCCCGTCACGGGCAGTGGGCTCGGACGTGGATGCCGGGAGCACCGCCTGCGACCGGCCGGACACAGCCTGACCCACGCGCTAGGGGGCGGGGCTTTAACCCTTCGCTGCGGTGGCACAGGCTCGCCACGTGCCTCTCAAGAGAAACTCCTCCAACTAAGGGAAGTCTGGCGTGGCGGCGCGTAGGGGCCCGGCCCGCGGAGAAGCGGGGCTGCGGAGCCGGCCGCCTGTGGCGTGCGGACTCGCCACTAGCGCTCCCGCCCGGCCGGGCCCCCACGCGCCGCCACGCCGACAGAGGCTCCTCGCGGCGCCCAGGGCCCTGGGGCAGCCCGGCACTCGGCCGTCTGATCTGGACTCGGCGCTCTCGGGGCACGGGTCGTCTTCTTATCTCTCCACAGCTACTGGGTCGCCGCGTCCAGTACACACACAAAATTACATCCCTGTACGGAAGGCCAGGGTCTCCTCCGTGTCGCTGGCACTTAGACCACAAACCTGCGTGGTTTCAGTATAAAATACAAAAGCGTTCGTACGGCTGTATCTAAAAAGAAATGAGACAGTTGCTACACTGAGAATAAAAAACCAAACCATCTGGAGACGTAAAGCCACCACTGCCCGCTGAGAAAGGACCCTCGGGTGCAGGCCGTGTGGGCACCGTCTCCTTCAACAGTCAGTAACTTGAGTGGATGCTCCAAATGGCAATTAAACCGCCACAAAGTACAATGGGAAATATCAGAAACTCTCTCAAAAGTTGTTAAAATATCACATTAAAGAGACAAGAAACAGCAAGAAAACATCTAAGAAAAGCAGGCTGCGGTACAACAAGCATTGTTAAGATAAGCTCAGAAGTGCATTAGTTCTGGTGAGAGATATATGAGCAACAGCTCTTACGAGATGTAGAACCCATCCTGTAACTATGGGCTGTCCATATACTGTCATAGTCAGAGTCTTCCGAGAGGTCTGAAGGCTCCAAACGAGAAAGGCTGCTGCGACGACCCAGGGAGTCTAGACTTGACTGGTCGTCATCAGCCAAGACGTGATTATGCATCAGGTCAGTGCCTTGCCATGCTAAGACGGGGCGGGGTGGGAGTGGGACGACAGGGGGAGGGGGACAGGCAGAGGTGGGTGAGCAGGAGGACGGCAGGAAGAGCCACAACCGAAAACATGGAAACAAAAGCAAAAGGTGATGGGAAGAGAAGGGAAAGAGAAAATACTGTTAAAAAACGGCAACAACGTTCATCTCTCCTCATCTATGGCTGGGCTCTAGTTACGAACTTATTAATTAGCACAACCCTTAGACTAAAACTAGACCAACTATTATTTAAACAAACCTAGCTCACGAGTCTGTTTCCAAACTGTTCCTTTTTCAAGCTACTGCTATTAAGCCCTCACTTACGAAATCTTTTACAAATTAAGCCCATGTTCACGAGCAAATTCTAAAGACATCTGGCAAGTAACCAATTCTGCTACACATTCGATTAACAAACAGCCGCCCTTGGGACACTTGTGAAAGGAACCGTTCATGTGTTTAATGCGGATATACTGAATGCAAAATACTTTCCAAGGATTTCTGGTGGACTTCTTCAGCTATCTCTTCACCAGACTCTAAATCACCATCTGAACAATGGGGGTCGAAACTTACCTTGTCACACTGTAGTGACTGAGAAAACTTCAGGCGGAGAACAGGGTTACACAGGCCCCTTCCCCCTCGCTCCCCTTTCCCGCCACCCCAGGGTGCTCACCCCCACTCAGCCAGGGGAATGGACATGGCGGGGAGACACGTCTGCTCAAACGCCATCAACCCGGACGCAGACCCTCCTGCTGCCATGAAGGGAGACGTGAACAGGGAATGCCCCTGTGTCAAAAGCAGGACGGCAGAAGGAAGTGGGCACAAAATGGGAGAAGAGGAGTGAGCCCATGAGTGGCTGGCGACGTGAGCAGGGATGCTGGCCAGGCGGCCGCGAGTGGGACGCGCAGGCTGGAACGGGCCCGCGGAGGGGCCGGAGGACACACACGCTTGATGGGAACCAGGGATGGCTCAGCACAGCAGCCACGGGCTCCGTCCTGTTCCTGCTCTGGGCAAAGCTAAACCCATTCCCAAACCAAAACAAAAGGAAGCAGTGGGCTCAGCTCGTTTTCTTTGACTACATCCCTATGGTCCTTGGGGAGGAAATCAACACTAAAGATGTCTGGATGGTGAAGGCTTCTTGGCATCCAAACGTATACTGAACAGAACTGAGCTTTAGGTGAGATATATCGTCCCAACTATTCTTACTATGCATTTAATATGGACAGAGCTGCTCTGGGGTCAGATGCACCTGACCCCATCTCTAGATTTTTAGGTACACTACCTGTCCAACATAAAGGACCCATTTCCCCATCCTACCTGTTCCGGAGAACGTTCAGTTTAAGGTCATCTATGACTGTAAGACCTCTGAGGCCCCAGAGTGGTTAGTCCATAATATCAGTGAAAAACAAAAAACGCTGTATTGTCCAGTGCTTTTCTTGCATAGAAGTGGAAACACATAACACAGGCAACGCGATGAGACCTGCACATACCAGGGCCACAGCAGAGCAGGGCCCCGTCTCCTGGATGAGGCAACGCAGCTCACACAAAAGCTCACACAAAACTCACATCACCAGGTCCGTTCACCTGAGATGGCCCGGTTTAAATTTTATTTCAAATAGTTGAAGTGGAGATGTATAATTTTTTAAAAATCTCAAATTCAAAACCCAAAAAACAATGGCCACATATAGCCTATTACCTAAAAATACAATCTCTTAACAAATATAGGAAACTGTAATATCGTAAATGACAAATTACTGCTCTGTCACCTGCAGGCCCTTCCATTCCTCTCCTGCTCTGCTGACTAGTCACTACAAACAGGCGTCTTCACCAGACGGAGGACGGACCGAAAGTCCTAACGTCACAGGTGGGACACGTCAACTACTAGCCATAAAGAAGTTTCTAGATCATCTGCAGATTTAGCCGGGGTTAAGCCCGTTGGCCCTGTCCTCATACCTGTAGTCATCTTTAACAGAAGCTCAAGCGGTTGTCTGTCCACCTTTTCTTTTTCTCCCCATCAATGGTTTACACCAGACGTGACACTGAGTTGAACCACCACACTGCAAGTGGCGCCAAGGGAGTGAGTTGAGCAATTTGCCAAAAGTCAAGGTGGAAAGGAAACCAAAAGGACAAAATCTGACAGAAACCAGTTTTCATGCCAGAAGCAATATATGTCATCCAGTGTGAAAGAAAGGGAGGGAGGGGAAGGGAAGCTCAGCCCCTTTTCTCCTGGACAAACCACATCCTGACTACATCTGCTGCAACCACCCTGCACTCCACTCTCAAAGGCTGGGCAAGTTTCAAAAAAAAACAGAGCCCATCTTTGTAGTGTTCACACAACAGATTAAGATTTTTTTCACATCAGACATTATGCATAAGATGCAGGTAAACTCAGTGGTACTGAAATCTACCCAACATCACTGGTGTGTCTACTTCAAAAAATTTTTAAGTGCAATCATTTTGTAAAAGTTGGGGAGGGCTAAAGGAACTCTTACTCTAGGCTTGTATTTTTGACAACAACTCTAAGAAGCAGCGCCCCCGCCACGTTCCAGTACCACACCCGTAGTTCAAACAGCTTAAACAACTGAGCTGAGCGAGCCCCCGCTGTCTTCCAACCCGAGAGAGCTGTATAAACTCTGGCAGTGCCCTACACTTCCAGGTCTCCCAGTGGAACCTTCTCTAGAAACCAGCTGTTTTACTGAGAGCTCAGATTCCTTCCCTTGACTGAGCGACGCTGGGCCAGGCCCCGGAAGCGCCCTCACTGGGGACCATGCCCACGAGCCTGCCCAGGGCCCACAGCTGTGTCCTTCAGGTCGTGATTCTAAAAAGCAAAACAAACCACCAGAGTCCCAGCGGGTTCGCACGACACTTACTTGAGTTGAGCGTCTGCCGGGTCTTGGCGCTGGTGCAGTAAGCCTCGATGACCTTCAGGATCTGGGCATCCTCCTCCAGCGCAGCCGTGCCTGCAAGGGACACACAACCCGTCACAGCCCAGAAGTGACAAGTACAGTTCACCGGACAAACACAAACCATCAACTCAACCAACGATGGTGACAACTAACAATCCCTCCTTTTGTTTTCTCGCCAGATAAATGTTCTCTGATATTCACAAGACAGTTATATGCAGAAGGATTTTTATTTTTTTACCTGCAACATATCTGGCAAAGGGCTAATATCCTAAATATACATATAAGTTGTCTTACTAACCCACAAGAAAGATAGTATCCCCCATCCTGAAGATGAAAAAAGGCAAGAAATAGGAACAAACAATTCACAAGAGAACAGTCAGAAAGAAAAAAATGTTCCTTCTCACCAAGAAAAGAAGTGAAAATTAAAACTACACAACATGTTTTCACATGTCAGCCTGACAAAAATCAGAATGCCCGAGAATTCTCAGTGTGGATGCGGACATCAGAAAGGACAAGTTCCCTCCATCCTCATCTGGGAGGGGGGAGTGAAGACAGCTATGAGCCCCTGGCAAGGCCATCTGACCCTACTTACCAAAGGCTTTAAAGTGAGCATCTCCTCCAATCCACAAGTTCCTACTAGAGAGTTAACCTAGGACGCTCCAGAGCTCTCCCGTAAACTGGGCTCCAGACCCAGCTTCCTCTGCACTCAGGAGGCCACGTGCGTGGAGCGTGCAGCCAGCAGAGCAAGGGCCCCTAAAGGTCCTGGTACCGGGCGCAGACCCTCGCACCCAGCATAGCTCATACCATCCTGTGGTTCAACTCTGCTTTCTGCTTTCTTAGACTTTTCTGCATCTTCTAAGGTATTACTTAGAATATATTTTAAAAGGCTCAACTACTCTAACAAAAAAATGTGGGAAGAATGGAAGACTAAACTATTTATAAGCTGTATCAAAAAGCCTGCATGCCATCGTCTGATACAGACACACACAAGGCGGGCCGCATGCTCGCTGCTAAGAGTCAGCGTCAGCACAGAGAGCTGAGGGGCGGCTGAAAAGCCGACTTAAATTCCGCTGACTGGGACTGGCTGTTAACGGGTTTCCGCAAGAACAACGTTTAACTAGTCTCGCTCCAGGACACGCTGGGAGGTAACGCCCACAGGCAGGGCAGGCCGCTCCCCTCTGCCAACAGGAGGGCAGCCGCACAAGTGACGCTGCCTGTCCCGCTGATGCAAGCACGCCGCCATCTTCAGACATGGGTCAGCGCGCTCGCGGCACGCAAAGCGCAGCGCCCGCGCACAGAAGGCGCCCGGCAAGCGCTGGGGGTGAAGGCCTACCAGGCCTGGGTCAGAGCTGCACATGAGGAACTGGTGTCCACCCCCGGCCGGACCCTCTGCACAGGTGGACCCTCCGCACGGGGGTGCTCGGCCTCCCCCGCTCCATCAGGTGTCCCGCAGGTGCGCTCACTATCTGAGGAAGTGACCAAGTAACCGCAGGACAGCAGGACGAGCGGGGCTGTGGCAGGGGACGTCAGGTGGCCCGGGCGGAGGGAGCTCACCCGGGAGCAGCCTCCGGGCCATCCCTGCGCCCACTTCCCCAGGGCCACCATGACCCTCGCCAAGGACGGGGGGGGGGTCCCCACTTGCAGCCACTGCACCAAGCCACCTCCTCCTCGGGGTGACGCCGGCTACTCGGCTCCAGTCTAAAAGCCTTCCTCTGGAAGTGAATCCCCAAAGGCTCCCAAATGGGTGTGGGCAAAAGGAGCAAAGGTCCGGAAAGTCACAGAGCCCCGTGGCAGTTCTCGGGGCAGGGGGAGCTGCAAAGGCGGCCCGCAGAGCCCCTCCCGCCTGCCGCGCCGGGTCGCTCTTGCCACGCATCCACGCGGGAGGCCGAGGGCCTGGAGGCGCCGTCCACGCCGCCCACGGCATCTCCGGAGTCTTCACGGAGCACGGGGGCCCTCCGAGCACAGGGTCGGTCCCACGGCGGAGACCCGCAGCCGCCGCCCAAGGGAGGGTGACCCCGGGTCGAGGGGCCCCGCAAAGAGGTCCACCCAGGGAAGGCCCACCCAGGGGAGGCCGGGCGGGTCGCGCGGACCCGCACCTCCCCCGCTCCAGCTACGTCCTTTAGAGGGGACCCTCAGCTGGGCGCTGGCTCCCGCGTGCGGCCCTGGAAAGCCCGGCGCCTCCCCGCCCGCGCGCCGAGAGCCCCGCGTCCCCACAGGTATACTCACTTTTCCTCAGCGCAAACTCCTCGTCCGAAGGCTTCCGCTCGGGCTTGCGCTTGGGGAGCAGCTTTTTCATGGTCTTGGGACTCTTGCTGAGATCCTAGGGAAGCAAAGGGGAAAAGGCTGACAGACCCCAAGGTAGGAACTCGCGCGGGTCCGCGAGGAGGGCCGCTGTGAAGGTGCGGAGCAGCAAACGCTCCGGCACCGCGGGGGCGCCTGCTCCCCTCGAGCTCTGACCGCTCTTTGCCGGCTGCTGGGCATCAGCTACAGCCAACAGGGCGCAGACTCTGATAGGAACCTTCGTGTCACCTGGATCGGGGGCACCGGGACGACAGCCACGCCTGGCTTGGAAAGGCCAGCTGGCCGAGGCCTGCGCAGGGAGCTGCGCGCTGCTAACTCTGCGGCAGGCCCCCCCCCCCCCCCCCGCAGTCACCCAGCCAGGGAGGGGCAACTAAGGCCACCATTAAAAGAAAGGCAAGTAAACACAACTCCTTCAGGAAAGCGCCTGAAGCCTCAAGGGAGAAGAAAAGGGTCTAAGAGCAGCCCACGGGCTCGAGGGCAGAGGCGTGCAGAAGACAGAGCCCCGCTCGCGTTCCCACCGCCCAGAGCTACGTTCACCGCCTCAGGGTCTACCCCTCCCCCGCAACACAGCGCCCGAAACCCCCCCACCCCCCGCGAAGGGGAGGGTGGAAGACAGAGCAGGCCCGAGCCCAACGCGGTGGGCGAGGTTGTGACTGTCAAGCATGTACTGAATCTTCACGTCAGGAAAGGCTAACTTCTGCCTCATTTAAGTTATATAAACCACTGGTGAACCTCACGATGAGAATCCGAGACTCGGAACATGACTCGTGCTATGGGATGGATCAGACTGAAAAGCAGAGAGAACAGAGCCTGAGTTTTTAAGGTGTCTCTTCCAAATCTTCCCCGTGAAAACGAAAATTTTAAAGCTCCTGAAAGTGCAGCAGAAATCAGTCCCTAGAGAGGTGAAGCCAGCATGTGTCCTGTGGCTTCCCTGAGTCCTGGGCAATAGAGGTGAAGCCGGGCAGAGCGCCCACTTGGCAGTGCTCTGTTCCGCCTTTCGTCTGTGACCACTTTCCACCAGGCAGTCTGTGTGCTCAGCACACTGGACGTGCTCACGGCCACACCCCTCCACGCCTTCCTCTCCCTCCTCCGCCCCACTCTCCCTCCCCAGCAATGAGATCACCAGGGCTTGCCCACACGCCTGCAACACAGACATCAGCACTCTTCCAGGAGCTGCCAGGGCAAGGAACGCTCCGACCTGGGCACAGGGACACCCGCAAGGTACACGTCACAAAAACCAAAATTCATTAACAGAAACATAAAGGATTAACTACAACTTACGCTGTACTCTTCTATAGATCTTAAAACACCTAGGGCTGCCAGCAAGCACGGAGGGGGTGTCTGCTCCAGGGCCTCTGCAAATGCAGCCTCATGGACACGCAAAGGCTCACACCAGGCTCACAGCCAGGCCACGCCCGCCACACTCACAGTCACGCCTATGGTAACCAAACTCCACTCACACTCATCATTTCACACCATCACCAGCTTCCTCAAGGGCAGATATTCCTGGACCCTACTTCTCGAGTCCCTTCCCTTTCTCATCAGGGCAGGGAGGGAACAGCAGACACGTGCAAACACTGTCCGAGTGGAGGAGAGCGGGTGCGCTGTGACCACGCCATGAGGAGCGCTGCCCTTCCCCGTAAACGTTCCCCCCGCCTTACACAGGTGACCAGACGCAGGGTTCCCGGGCAAGAGCTCAAGCCTGACAAGGGTCACACGGTGTGGCAGAGTGGCACGCACACAGTGAGCTGAGACCCATCACAACCAAGTTCAAAGTTCTTTCAGCGAGAGGCCGGGACCACGCGAAGCCTCCCAGCTCCGTGGCCTCTGGGCAGAGGGAACGGAGGTCAGGTGGGCACAGAAACAGCTCCTCCGTGACGGGCACAGAGAGGGCCCCACCAAAAGGGTCTCCCCAGGGCTCCCGGGACCACAGGAAGGAGTGACAAGAGAACAAAGGCAGACCCTTCACAGTTCTGAAGAGGCCGATCTGCTTTATGTCACAGACACACGGGATGGCCCACGTTTCTGAACTCCCTGGACTGAAGCAGGGAACGGCCGAAGTAACACGCCCAGCCGTCAAGTCGGGGCTCACCTCCTTGTAGCAGAGCGCAGCTGAGGGCCGGAGAGGGGGTGCGGGTCGCAGGCAGCTCAGGCTCCAGGGCTTGGGGGTCTTCGGAGGCTCCAGGGGCCCCCAGTTGATGGTGGTGTGTGGAGTGCCGTGGTGCGAGGGGTGAGGCAGCGTGTGGTAGGCGGGCGTCAGCGGCACGGGCTTGCTGTCCGCATGCTTGCTGGACGGGGTGACCGAGTGGGAGGGGAGCTGCGCGGGGCACAGGGCGGGAGAGAGCAGAGACACCATTCAGTGTCAGGGGAGCCCTGAGCAAACACACCCGGCCCACCAAGACGCCCCCGCTGGGCAGCCCCAGCCTGCGGGCAGTGCTCTGGACTCTCCAGGTGCTCAGTCTCTGGGCCGCTTGGGTTGAGCGGGGAGCTGCTGCTCCAGGCCGCAGGCCGCAGCTGAGCTGGGGTCAGGAAGCAGCGGGGCGCTGGGGGTCCAGACCCGGAAATTCCACCTACCACCTTTAACTGCCATGGACTCACATTTGCAAAAAGGTATTTCGTTTAGTACAGATACCAGAACTGTATGACAGAACGGGCATTCCCTGCACTGAGAATGTGATTATGGCGAGGGTAATGACTACCTCCCCAGCTGTACTACTCACTGCCTGGTGATTCAAGGGTGGCCAAAACTAGGGCCTGATCCCTGTTTTTGTTTAAAAAAAAAAAAAATGCTCCTGGGACACAGTCAGGCCTATTCCTGTCAGTGGCTGCTTTTGTATTACAAAAACAAACTATAATTGTGACAGAGACCATATTGCCTAAAAACCCCCAATATTTACTGCCTGTCTTTTATTAGAAAAATTTTGCCAATCCCTGGGATAAAACATTTTCTCAGAAAAATCAGCTTTAATCAAGACAAAGTTATATAAATCTAATTTCTCAGAAGGACCTTATTAATGGGGTTTATATTCCTAGAAAACCCAAAAGTATTCCATCACACTGACAATTAAATAAGAAAATGTTAAGTAAAATAAATAACATTCAAAATTAGCTAAAGAACTCAAATTAGCCGAAAACAATACAGTATGCTTAACAGGAGAAAGAGCTGAGTGGTTCTGCGAGCTGGAAACCTGAGTGAGATCATCATTCGAAAGAACTGAACAGTATCTGAAAAACAGGCTTAAGGGGAAGCCCAGGCTCTAGCTGAGGCTGGGTGTCCAAGGACAGAAGCAGTGGACTCTCTGCAGTGACCGCACACCTGTCCTGGGTGTGTGTGTGTGCTGTAACGTGTTAATACAACCACTACAAAATAATTTTTTCAAACTAAATAATTCACAAAAGGGGAAAATTGCGCAAAACATCCCTTCTAGCAATGTCACGATAAGTAACATTTGGTTTTATTTCTCCTTGCTTGTAAAAGTCAAGAGAGGTAGCTTTATGCTAAAGGTAGAGTATTATTCAAGCTGGACGCAGCAATCACAGGGAGAACACAGACACCCCCAGAGAGAACCTCCGTAAGAAGAGCACACAACACTTGACAACGCTGCGTGTGGGGCACAGTGCCCTCCAGACAGCGGGGCTGTAACTCCCTTGCCACTATGTGACAAGAACAGGAACGAGAGCGGCCAGCGTCCCGATACACAGCACAGTATTACTTGATGTGACCTTATAAAGGTTAGTTTCAGGCTGTTACAGACAGTCTGAGCGAGAAGGCACTTCCCTTTTCCTTATAAACACACACGTGGACGCACATATGTCCTTGGGATAAATTTAGTCCCGTGAAAGCTAAGCATCTTTAGTATTTTTTAAAAGTATGGAAAAGTTATAAATGGTGGAGCCATTCAAAATGAAACATTAGCTGAAGCAAATGAGCAGTTTTAACCCCCAAACTGTTGAGAAATGGCCTAAGACATTGCACCTGTGACCAGCACGCTGCGCCATGGCCACCGTCCCTGAGCTAAAACTTTAACCCCAAGGATGGCGACCACAGGGGGTAGAAAACTCCCAGTAAAGATCGTCACAGTCTGGCAAGGATGGCAAGAAGAACCCACCAGCCAGAAATGCTGTGAGACCCTAGTCATTTGTAAGAAGGTTCTTGCCTGGTTCTTCAATATTATCTGGTAAAGATGATGAATGATCAGATGATTCAATACCAGTATCTTAAGCATGAAACACCAGGAAAGAGAAGTTTTAAACACTGACACTTTGGTGCTGATATATCTTGAAATCTTTAAGTATCTAAAAACTTAAAGAGCTATTGAGCTTTTCTAAAAGTAGAAGATACAGATTTCTTACAATCAAAACAATGAGTCAAAAATTACATTTTAACACCTTCAACATGAATCTGGTCCTTTTTGTCATCGTAAGTATTCACTGTTTGTTTTTTTGATGAAACACAATAAATACAATTAAAATGCTCAGAAAAGCCCTCTATGGACCAGTGGCTCTCAGGCTTTTGGTTGAAACCAACTTAGGTTACACGACCCACTCTGAGCAAGGCAGCTTCCTAGCCAGGGGCCATGAACTGTGTGTGTGTGTGTGTGTGTGTGCGTGCGCGCGTGTGTGTGTGCGCACGCAGCTTCCTAGCCAGGGGCCATGAACTCTGTGTGTGTGTGTGTGTGTGTGTGTGTGCGTGCGCACATGCGTGCGTGCGCGTAGCGATTCACCATCCACTGGCAATGAGCAAGTGCTTGCAGAGAAACACAACGCACATGTTGTGCTTTCCTGACCCAGAGGCTGACTATGGCTTAAAGCACTCGATCACTTGCTGGCAACCGAACCCAAGGCTGACCCCAGAGTCTGGAGGCGGGAGAGGGACGGGGGCCCTTACGGTGTGAGACGGCACAGAGTGAGGCTTAATGGTGGGGTTTCCCGCAGAGGTGACCTTCGTCTGCTTCTGCAGATGGTCCACCCACTCGTGCAGGTCCTGCTGGTTGCTGCAGGACACTAAGATCCGCTCAATCATGCTCCCTGGAAGAGAGAAACACAGCTGAAACGGGGAGCAGGCGGAACACACACACACGCACACGCGCACCCCCGAGGAGGGCCAACAGCGCTGCCCTGTCAGCCCCCTGGAAGGGTCGGCAAGGGCCTGCACACAGAGGGCCAGTTGCCTGGTCACCCGGACAGAGGGCATCCACAGAGTCTGTGCCTATCACCTGATATTTCAAATGCATTTCTATGATTTTCACTGTCCTCAAGCTTTGTGATTGTCATTCCTGTCGTTGGTAGCTTTCCCTAAAAAAGACCCCCCCCCAAAAAAAACAATTAGTGCTTAAGAAGATACCATTAATAAAGTAAATATTAAATGATTTTAGAAATGGCAGAGGAACTGTCTCTGTAACGCAAAAATGCTCTTTTGTTTGTACCGAATGCATGTACAATATGAACCTCTATCTCAAACAAGAAATCGTAATACTAGAATCAAGAAATGAGCCAGCAAAAAGGTACAAGGCAGCAAACCAGAAAAAAAAAAATTTCATCTGATGGGTTACTCTAAACATCAACAGCAGGACACAGAAACATTACACACCGTGATAAAAAAACTAGAGCCTACAGTGGCTATTTTAAATGATGTTCTTTATGCAAAGGAAGCACAGATTTGCCTTAAAGAAATGCAGAGGAAGTTCCACGTCTGAAAGCAAAGTAAGGAGGAAATTGGAGCAAGAGGAACTGGACGTTAGCTGTGCGTGGTCGTCACCAGACGGGAAGTCGAGAGCTGTGCTGAGCGCTGCACAAAATGCAGAGAAGAGCAGCCAGCCCATCCGCTCTGACAACAGAGGGCCTGGGGAGGGGAGCGGGGACGCCCACGGAGAGGGGTCGGAAATGGGCCGGAAGGGACCAGCACAAATAACAGACACACCACGGAACGCGGTGGCCAAGCAAGTCCTCTGGGAAAGTCTCTCCCTGAGGACTGGGGCCAAGCTGCCCCCGAGAAGCAGGACTCTCAGTGCGGTGGCAGCGGGAGTCCTGCCCTGCAGGGGGCGCGCCGGCAATGCCACAGCCCACAGGCCTCCTGATGTCTACAGGGCGGGGGCCAGGGGTGACGCCGAGCATCCCACAGGGCACGAGGTGGTCTCCCCACCCCTCCCCTCCCGAGACAGGTATCATCCAGGCCACGGGCCACCGGGGCTCAGCAGGCGGGACAGGGTAGCACCGGCACAGCCGTGGTTAGATGCAGACACTACAGACGCCCTTCCAAGAGTCCTAAGGCACAGGGGTGACCAACAGCTCCGAGAACTCTCCAGGAAACAGAGCTGCAGGGCTGCATTCAGCGCAGCGGCAACCCCGGCGGACAGGACGTGCTCACTGTTGCTGGATGTAGCGCTTTTTAACATCCCTCAGAGCCAGAAATGAATACTGACAGTACGTGGACTGTGGGTCACAGCACTTGGAGAGAAAGCCCCCAGGAACCCGTGCACAGGGCGGGAGAACAGTGCTCTGCTGGTGGCATGTCAATGCCAACATCCTAGGGGCCTAAGCCTGCCCCAGACGGCAACCTTAACTCCTGCAGGTCAAAGCAGGGCCCCGACTCAGCCTCCTGGGTGTACAGCACGAAGCTGGAGAACACTGATGGAAAAGGACCAAGGCCACTTAAAGCGGGAGCCGCCAGTTTGGGGGAACCTGAGCAGGTGCTCCCTCAGCCAGACATCAGTCAGCGGCAGGCTTACAGATTAAGAGGTATTATTTTTCTAGGCTTGCCCGTGTACAGCTGCTTCCTCAATTTTAAAGTGCTCCTTGTGGAGTGTGCGATGACACTCCCCTTCGGGTGGCAAAGCTTTCTGTGCAGGTACAAACAAGCCACGGACACTCTGGACTCAGGACCCACTAGAGCTCTGGTCGGGGACAAAACAAACAATGTGCTGCATATGCAGAAACGCAGCTCGGAGAAAACAAAGGCCGACTTCTGTTGAAACAGCATCTGGTGACTAGCCAGGCCTCGAAAAACTGATGGGAAAGGCAGAAGCTTCTGTAACTACACAGAGAGAAGGCAGTAAACCTTGCTAGAAGCTCCTACTAGACAGACAGAAAAAGCATAAAGCACTTAATACCACATTTGAAATTAGCGCACAAAAAAGAAAACATTTCCCCTTGCGTGTTCTTCTTAAATCAGCTCTCATATTCTCTCAAAGAAAATCAGAAAAATGATCAACAATAGAAAGGCTAAACGATCGTCCACTACCACGTACACCACCCGACGTGTGCCCAAGACCCACCTCGGCCGCGGGTCCCCCTCCAGCTAGCCCGCTGCTGTGCCCACCATGTACCAGCCACCAGGAAAGAAGCGGCACACGACTTGGTGGCGACGGGCTGGCACCGCACCTCAGCAGTCTGTGTCCTGGGGGGCAGCTCCACAAATTTTAGTCTCCTTCTTTTTTTGCTTTGGATTAACACAAGTATCCTAATTTGCACAGTCACATCGAAATGCACAGACAGGACTTGTGTGCACGTATCTGAATGTAACACTATACATACAACACTACACGCAGCCCACAAACAGATGCATGTAGTATTGAACACAAAACTCAAGACAAGCCTGGAAATTCTCAGATCCACAATAAACAATTAAATACAAATTTAAAATGTGTTTTACCTGGTATATAAAACCACTCATCCTAGGACTGGCAGACAACATTAGCAAAATATTTGGGAAGAGCAGAAGATATCGTTCATTCTTTTCCTAATGTAAAAGAGCAAATTCAAATAATTGTTTTAAAAACACATATTTTACAGTTGTGAGAATATTTACAGTAGGCCTTAGGAAATATTATATCATACTTCCTGTTTAGATATTTCTCTCTACCAAATTTCATGAGCTAAATTAAATGGAAACAAAATTATGATAAACTCTTAGACTCACAAGTAGCTCACGTTAACATCTGTTTATAAAATTTGATTAAGGAGTTTAGCTCTGCCATTAACTCTTAATTAGTAAAATCTTCTTTCTGTGGTTGAGAGAAAATGGAGGAAAACAACCTGTAAGCTTTTAGGGGCAGTGGGTGACCAGGTGGGCCCTTCAGGCTGAAGGAGGGTGGGATAAAATGTGGAGATGGATTTAGTCCACTGGTAGACCCTGGCACTAACCTAAAATCCAACACGTCAACTCAATGTTTCCACCCACCCCATAAACTTTACCCAATCTACATGAAAGACCTAAAAGCACTGTTTATGTATTAAAACTCATTTGCTTCAATAGGTAAGAAAAGCCCCACAGCGAAGGACAAACATTCCCAAGAAACTAAAAGGAGACACAGAAAGAGAAACGCAGGCAGCGCTTCCACGCGCCGCCATCGACACACTGCTCACAAAAGTGAAGGAACTGCTGGGAAGCCGTGCCCCAGGCAGGCGCCTCCCAAACCGGCCACGCACAGGAGCCCTAAGAAAGCCGTGCTGGGAATGGCGCTCGCGCACTGCACTGCGGTACCTCGCTCCCAGCGCACTGAATCAGGACCTGGGACATGTAAATGACGTTGCCCAGGGTCTTAATGTCATCCCCCTCCCAGCTCCGGATGGCTTCCGTCAGGATCTGCAGCTCCAGCTCCTTCCTTTTCCGTACTTCCTGACACTGCGCCTGAGAAGCAGAGAACACCGTTAGAAGAAACGGGACTCTTGGAACCTTAGGTTCTGGCCATACTGCTTTGTATCTTACTTCTTAAGACAGATCACCTGGTGAACAATTTGCTTACTTCACAAGTACGGAATCAAGTCAAGAGAGACAAAACACGCAACAGCTCTAGAACGAGAAACACTTTTAGAAAAATATAGCCATTCCTGCCACTTTTAGAAGAAAAAACGTGGACTGGGCAAGAAAAGTATTTTCTGCTTTTACTAGTGAACGCAACAGAGAAGACTGAGAAGAGGGGAAGAAAGAGTAAGTTCCACTTGTGCTGTAAATAAGACACATATTCCAGAAACTCAAGTCAGTCAGACAGCATGACAACAGATTAAAAAAACCAACAGCATTCCATTTCACACTCAGTCACTAAAGACACTGTGGGATGAGGTTAAAAACATGTTCTGAATCACTGTAAGTAGCTCTAGCATTACGTGGTGCCTTTTTAAAATTTAAACAATTATCATTTCATTTTCCTGGCGTCCACAGTCCAGTAAAGCCTGAGAGTTTACCAGCCATGGCATAACTACTATATATTTATTTTTATTTCATCAGAGTAAATCCAAATTATACTTCACAAGTAATTTTCTGCATTCGTTTGCCATAATAATGTCTGACGGGGAAAAAAAAACGTGATATGCTTAATCACTTACTGAAAGGTTTTTGAAGGCAGTCATGGATTTCTGAATATCTTGTCTATCTGGATGATAATCCTTTGAATAAAACAGCACACTATTAGCTTTCATAATGAGAAGTTTTTCCTTAGAAAGGCACTCTGTAGACTGGCGCGGGCCTTCCCTAGACTTTTCAACCTGGAACCTGTCCTATTCTTCGCAGCATTAAAGCGCCGTTTCTTAGTCCTCGAGGGGATCGTGGAGCAGAGGGATCTGGACCCTGCCCTGGGGAGGGAGGCCGGCACACGGCCATGCCCAGCCCTTACGGGCCTCTGCTGCTCTGGCACCAGAGGACAGAGGGAACAGCTGTGAAGAAGACTGGATGGCCTGCCCTTTGGGAAACGGTTCCCTACGGCCTAACCAAGCCAGTAACCTGAATCCAAATTTCTCCTGGGCCCACAGCCTGCTATCTGAACACAGAATAAATACGTATCATTAGCTGATTCTTTCACTGTTATTACTCTATGACTTATGTACTTCACAACACTGTAAGTACGCATTCCTGATATGACACCTCAACACTATGAGCGTTTTCTAGCGACGGGAAAATCCCCCGTCAGCAGCAGTGGGTGGAGAGGAACTGAAGGAGCAGACGCTTTTCTACAGCTGAGATAAGGGAAAGCAAGTTCACATTTAACAATGTCATTCTGAAAACCCTGAGTTACGGCCGCTGGTTAAACCCCCTCTGCAGGCTCTGGCCCAGGAGCCCTCCCCCGGGCGTGGCTGGCTGGCAGGCGGGGCAGGCACACGTACCTCCATGTGTCTCTCCAGCTCCTTGAGCAGCGCAGGGTACTTGTCCAGGCGCATGAACGGCTTGCTGAGGCCGGTGGTCAGCACGAGAATGCCTGGGCTGCTGGCGCCCTTCATCTCCATGAACTCGCCCAGCTCTTCACTGACCACGCGCAGCCACGCGGGGAGGGAGAAGAGGCCACCGTTAGAGCCCAGAAGGGCCGCGCCCCCGCCCCAGTCCCACCAGGACTACGAAGTACCACGCGGTGTCCCCGATGGTTCAGAGGCTACCGCTGTCACAGCCCAACACGTGCTGGTTATCTCCAAACACCAGAGGGGCGATCCCCACACAGCTCATGTTCTCGCCCTCAGTCTGAGCAAAACCACGTGCGCGTAACACAGAGCACCTGTGGTTTCCCAGCCACCACCCCCCCACCCACCCCCCATCACGAAAGGCCACCTCAGCGAGGCACGTTCCTGTGGAAGAGTGTGAATGTGAGTGGCCTTCTGAGCGCAAGAACAGGGCCCTGTTACCTGGAACCTCAAGACAGTAAAACGTGTCAGGAGATGCGTCCCAACTACCACCAACTGAATCATGGCGCTGACCCTCCAGGTGCTTTAGTCCCCGAAGGCGGCTGCATGATGCAGCACGATAAAGTAACTCACACATCCTCGGGCTTTAAACTTCCAGAAGCATTTTCGCATCATCATTTCATTTAACCCTCCCAGTGCGTGTGAAGAAAGTTTTCCGCATCTGTAGGTGAGGACACCTAGTATACGCTCAGAAGCTAACTCAGCTCTAAAAGCACGTCTTCAATACCGTACTCCTCCTCTGTCACCCTCACCCTCACCACCTTCCACCTAACGCTCCAGTGGCAACGCCCTCCTGAGCTGCCCCACATCGTGCCCTGTGCCGCCCTGGGGTCTCCAGTTCAGGAAGACCCCAGGAAGATCAGGGGCGCAGCTGTGGGTCAAGCTCTGTCACCCACACATTTGTGGCTCACGTCTGTGACTGAAACTCTGTGCTTCCGTCTCTGCACTGAGGGACAGATGACGTTTATAAAGGGTCCATGGGAGGAAGCCAGTCTATGCCCCTCACTGCTGCCGAGACGTGTCCCTCCAGACACCGGGGGACGGAGGTCACCTGGAATGCAGGCTGTGAGAAGAGGCGGCACCCACCCACTGGGAGGGCGGGACAACCTCGGGGTCCTGAAGAATCACCGAGCCCATCCCCTCTGGGTGCCGGTCAGCTGAACCCGCCTCACGCCTCACCTCCACCCCCAGCTGTACGTGGCCGCCCGCCCAAGCTTCCTAGGACCAGCAGCCCCACTGATGGCTCCTGGCGAAAAACGCGCGGTATTCAGGCTAAACCGTCTGAAACTGCTAGTTCAAAAGCGGTGAATACGAGAGTCTCCTACGGTACAACCTAGAGTGACTTTCTGTGGGAGGCGTGACAGCAGAGCTGGTGCTGGCACTGCCCACCTCTTACTCTCAACCCTGCACATCGATTCTGCTGACATATCCAAAGGGGAAGGTACCTGACCCGACTAAACCAGCTCAGAAACAAAAGCTTCCAAATGTCAGGCTGCAAACAAATTCATCAACCCCTGGGAAATCAGCCTTATGTCTCTCAAGCAGTAAGACCTCTCTCTCTCGGAGACAGCTCCTGTCTGTGCTGGGGCTCGCGACAACGTGGGTGGCCTGAGCCGGAGCGCGTCCTGGCTGCGTACGAAGAGCGACAGCATAGTTAACAGCACTGCCATCTACCTACCTACCTATACATAGTTTTCTTCAAAAATCAACCTTTTAAATAAATATACATACACATTTAGGAGCTATGATCAAAATCAAAGCAAATTATAAAACGGGAAAATGTTCACAAAGTCCTCGCTATAACAACTCAGCATATACAGTACACATTTTTCCCACTTCCGTCAGAAGGCAGGCTTCATGACGAGTTCCTTCCTGCGAGACAGCCTGCCACGGTGGTGCAGTTTAAAATATTTAGCACAGAAGCGGCCTAACTACTTCTAGGGCTCTATGTGCACACGCACTTGCATAGGCAACACGACCCAACACCTCTGTGCACAGAACTCTGTGCTTTCGAAGAACGGCTTTCCCGGAAAACCACAGGGCTGGGCTTCCGAAGCCAGGCAGGCGATGCTCCGGGACCCTGCCGTGGGGCAGCCTGGCGCTGGCACCGCTGTGCACGGTTCCATGCTCTGCCATCACCCTGCCTTCCCCTCCTTGCAGGGCTGGGTCTTCCAAGCCCGACCCTCAGGGCTGCCTCCTGGCCCACCTCCCCAAGCTTGGGCAGAGGAGACGCACAGGTAGGAGCGCACGTCAGGGAGAGGGACAGAGCAGGGGCAACGGCACCGGACACGCACTGTGCATCCTTCCCGCCCACGCCACCCTGGGCCTGAGGCAGGGGTCATCGTGCACATCTGCAGACGGGAGCCACTGCCAACAGCGGCCGAGCCCAGGCGGGGCCCCCTACCCAGGCGTGGCTGCTCCACGTCTTGTGCCCACCACGCCCGCCCTAGCCCTCAAACATTTTCACTCGGAAACGTTCACCTCTTCAGATCAGCCCACCCATCCCTAACATGCGAGCAGAGAGAAATGATGGCTTTATGGAGGAGACATTTGTATTTTACCAGCATTTCTCTGAATGTTGAACAAAGGATCAAGCACAGTCCCATAAAAATGAAGCTTAATGATACTAACAGTACATTTCGACTCCTTTAAATATAATCCAGTTGGGGCCTTTTCTACCACAAGGAAAATCGTCAAAAAGTCTCTTCAGGCCATTTTTGATATTTCAGTATTATACGTGCAATTTCATAACCATAGTTATGGCAGACAATAATGAATAAAACTAAGCAAGTTATCCTCATCACCCACCCCCCAAAATTCCCTACAACTAAAAATTCATGTGAAATTTTTGCAAAAGCAAAAGTAACTTCTTTTAATATTCACATGACAGCCTTGCAATGCCAGACACGTGCACAGTTAAGAAAGGAAACTGAACTTTTTATAAATCTTTATAGATCACTGAAATAGTTTTTTTTTTTAGTTTTAAAAACAAATTTAGTACTACAATAAAACCAGACAAAACGGCTGGTTACAGCTTTTCTGACAAAACAAAGGCTCTTTCAGCATAATTTCTACTGAGGCCGGCGATCCTTACACAGCGTACCTCCTCCATATTTACTGAAATGACACCATGGGCCGCAAGACGGCAACCAGGGGAACACACAGAGAGCCATCAAGTAGCCCAGCAAAAAGCCACAGTTAAAGTGCTGGAAAAAACGAAACCCGTAATTCACTCAAAACAGGCAGCCATGAGCCTATGAGGCTACTATCATATGATAATGCAAAAGGTACACGTCAGTTATAATTCAACAGAGCTGGTGCTTCTTTTTTTTGCCATCCAAGGGCAGCTGAACTTTTTTTTTTTAAACATCTTTATTGGAGTATAATTGCTTTACAATGGTGCATTAGCTTCTGCTGTGTAACAAAGTGAATCAGCCATATGTATACGTATATCCCCATAGCCCCTCCCTCTTGAGCCTCCCTCCCACCCTCCCTATCCCACCCCTCTAGGTGGACACAAAGCACCGAGCTGATCTCCCTGTGCTATGCGGCTGCTTCCCACTGGCTATCTATTTTATGTTTGGTAGTGTATATATGTCCATGCCACTCTCTCACTTCATCCCAGCCTCCCCTTCACCCCGTGTCCCCCAGTCCATTCTCAACGTCTGCGTCTTTATTCTTCCCCTGCCAACTAGGTTCATCAGTACCACTTTTTCAGATTCCATATATATGTATTAGCATAAGGTATTTTTCTCTTTCTGACTTACTTCACTCTGTAGGACAGACTCTAGGTCTATCCACCTCACTACAAATAACTCAATTTCGTTTCTTTTTATGGCTGAATAATAGTCCATTGTATATATGTGCCACATCTTCTTTATCCATTCTTCTGTCAATGGGCATTTCAGCTGCTTTCATGACATGGCTATTGTATATAGTGCTGCAGTGAACATTGTGGTACATGACCCTTTTGAATTATGGTTTTCTCAGGGTATATGCCCAGTAGTGGGATTGCTGGGTCATATGATAGTTCTATTTGTAGTTTTTTAAGGAACCTCCATACTGTTCTCCATAGTGGCTGTACTACTTCACATTCCCACCAACAGTGCCAAGAGGGTTCCCTTTTCTCCACACCCTCTCCAGCATTTGTTGTTTGTAGATTTTCTAATGATGCCCATTCTACCTGGTGTGAGGTGATACCTCACTGTAGTTTTGATTTGCATTTCTCTAATACTTAGGGATGTTGAGCATCTTCTCATGTGCCTCTTGGCCATCTGTATGTCCTCTTTGGCGAAATGTCTATTTAGGTCTTCTGCCCATTTTTCAATCGGATTGTTTGTTTTTTTGATACTGAGCTGTTTGTATATTTTGGAGATTAATCCTTTGTCCTTTGTTTCATTTGCAAATATTTCCTCCCATCCTGAGGGTTGTCTTTTTGTCTTGTTTATGGTTTCCTTTGCTGTGCAAAAGCTTTTAAGTTTCATTCGGTCCCATTTGTTTATTTTTGTTTTTATTTCCGTTACCCCAGGAGGTGGGTCAAAAAGGATCTTGCTGGCTTTGCAGACGCTGCCACCCCAGAACCTCCCGCGCTGCCCAACCATGGTCAACCCTACCGTGTTCTTTGACATCGCCGTCAACGGCGAGCCCTTGGGCCGCGTCTCCTTCGAGGTAAGGGACCTGGAAACCAAGAAGTGACTGCTCATCCAATCCATAAAGCTACGTTAACAGATTGGAGCTGTTTGCAGACAAAGTTCCAAAGACAGTAGAAAACTTTCGTGCTCTGAGCACTGGGGAGAAAGGCTTTGGTTATAAAGGTTCCTGCTTTCACAGAATAATTCCGGCATTTATGTGCCAGGGTGGTGACTTCACATGCCATAATGGCACTGGTGGCAAGTCCATCTACGGGGAGAAATTTGATGACGAGAATTTCCTCCTGAAGCATATGGGTCCTGGCATCTTGTCCATGGCAAATGCTGGCCCCAACATAAATGGTTCCCAGTTTTTCATCTGCACTGCCAAGACTGAGTGGTTGGATGGCAAGCATGTGGTCTCTGGCAAGGTGAAAGAGGGCACGAATACTGTGGAAGCCACGGAGCGCTTGGCGTCCAGGAATGGCAAGACCAGCAAGAAGATCACCATTGCTGACTGTGGACAAATCTAATAATAAGTTTGACTTGTGTTTTATCTTAAAAAAAAAGAATCTTGCTGTGATTTATGTCACAGAGTAGAACTGATGGTTCTGTATATACATTTTCAAGATTCATACTCAGAATTCAAACTAACACAATGTAAGGATCATAAGACTGTAAATAAGACTTTAAAACTGCTAAACACTACGTTTAAATCAATGCTGAAAAAGTGTATTGACATATATACACTAACATGTATGAAACAGATAACTAATAAGAACCTGCTGTATAAAAAAATAAAATTAAATTTAAGAAGAAAAAAGTATATTCAAGCAAAAAAACAGATTTATCTACCCCTAAGCGTGGCGGCTTTTAAGACTAGAACAAACGTAGGGAAGCGGGAAAGAGGCCACAAGCTAGGGTCCCAGAATGGAAAGTGAAGGCCGACAGAGGCCACCAGCCCGCCGCGAGCCTCCTCTCAACCCCCCGACTCACGCTTCAGAAGCAGGGTCTGACGTGCGGGCGGAGTGGGCGCTCTCGCTGCCCCAGGACCTCAGGAGGGCACACAGGCAGCGCATCCTGCGGCCTCCACGCTCTCCCGCCGTCTCCGGGCTCACAGGCCCAGAGCCTGACCTCAGTCCACCCGCCTCCCGCTCCGGGACTCGCCACGTGGAGGAGGGCAGAGGTCCCCACTCAGAACCGCATCTGTATTCTCTCCCTGCTATTCTGGGGAAAAGCTCCACTGAGGTTTCAGCTACGACACAAGCAGTCATTAACGTAATAGTACAGAAGAGAGGAAAAGAGCACACGCTTGCGAGCATTCCCCTTGAACGTCTAAACATTTCAGGAAACTTCAACAGTCTGAACTGCTTTAAATGTCACCTTCAGCACGGAGCCTCACATCCACCCTCTTTTCATACTTTCAACCCACCCCTAGGGGATCAACCCCTGACCAAAAAGGGGGAAGGAGAGAGCAAAATTAAAAAGGTGTGCAATTTTACCCTAACATTCTATTTGCTGTTTATCTCCCCCATGGCTGTGTCAGCAATTCCTGAGGAATTTTCAGAGACACAAATGTAATCTCTGCATTTCACCGGTGTGGAAATTCCATTTAACTTGTCGTTCTCAGGAGTGGACGCCGGAGCATGTAACTGCATCCATGCTTCACGGTTTAACTAGGAAGGTACGTGCTAACACTGCCCACGCTCCCAGAAGCGTGAGGAAGAAGAAGACCTGACGGGTTTTTCATTTCTGTGGTCGCCGTGTATCCTAATCTCTCTTCTTTCCATCACCGTGTCGAAGACTGCTTGCTTCGCTGCAGAACTGGAAATGCTTTACTACAAATGGAGGGTCAGTATTTAAGCACACGAGAAGCAGTAAACACCCAGAGTCCAGGTAAGACCATAAAGCAGTTCACATTATTGAGCCTTCATCATGCTCAGTCCTGACGGTTTGCATGTTCTGCTTCACGCCTACAGTACCCTATGGCCAGCGCTCTCAGAGAAGAGGGCTGACCTCCTGAGACCCATCTGCTTCAGAGAGGCAGTGAGGGCTCAAACCAGGTCTGACGGACCCAGAGGCCCTGCCACCAGGCCCACACAACCCAGGCGCACACACAGGGATGCTACGCTGCCACCTCAGCTCGATCTCAGCAATGCCTGCTTCCCAGCACAGTTTCTAAGCTTTCAACTGAAACACTTAGGAGTAAGCTGAGGTTAAATATTTAAATCACAAGCACAGTGGCGTTTACCCTGATGCGACTAACACAATTTCTTCACTTACGGGTTAAACAATGACTGAACTGCTATTTATGGCTGAACTGCCGTTTTCAGAAGAAACCATAAATATTTTCTAAAACACTTAATACAAACGTGTGCCCTTCTGGGAGCAGAAACAGACCTCATCACCCACTCCGTCTGCAGGTCGAGCCCGTGGTCCTTGCCGCAGCCCAGGGTGCCCAGCCCTCCTCCAGGACACAGGTACGGCCTTGTCTTACCAAACAAGCAGGAAGTCAATCTGTCCACTGTTTCACTTGTTTCACCGCTGCTTCGGGGTGAAAAGCTAAAGCTAACGGTCCCCAGCTTCACGTTTTCCTAAGAAATCCAGGCCTCACTGTAAATGCACATTTAGTCCTACAGCAAGCGTACTTCTGTCTCACGTGGTCTGGTGTTTACGCGCTGAGGAACGCGATTCCAGCAGCCAGGACTCAGGCTGCAGCCACATTCCAGAACACTTACCAGCTCCTCCAACCCACTGTCCAAAGGGTATGAGCTGAAGGGGAGACTTCAAAACACATCCTTTTCTATTATAAAAGCACTAAGCAGGATTTCAAAGACTCCCAACCAGTACTTCTCAGGCACTAATTCCGAGGGTAATTAAAATGATCATCTTTGAATAAACGCGTGAATGTTCGCACTGCACTGCACGTAATATCTGACAGAAACGAGCTGCTCCGGGGGGACCCCATGGCGCCACTCCCCGCTCGGGGAAGCAAGTCCCGGAGACGCACCTGTGCTCCGTGAGGACGCTCACTGCAGACGGGTGGTTGGCACAATACGCAAGGTACAAGGTCTTCATCTGCGGCATCAGGTTCAGAAAGCAGCCTCCGACTCTCTGCTGAGCTTCCGGCATCCTGGAGAGGAGAGGCACGAGGGAACCATCCTGAGTGCCACAGACAGTGGTGGACGCGGGAACCATGCGGGAGGAGGGCCTGTGCACCACCCCACAGAAACGACACACACGAGTCCCAGACTGTATGTGCTCTGAACACGAGCCAGCGGGGGGAGAGACCTGCCTTGGAAGCCGCTCTGCCATAAAGCAGCCAACCAAGCCCGTCCTTTTCTCCAGCGTCCAGATGCCAGGACCTGTGCACAAGTCCAGGATTCCTTGGGCAGTGAGAAAAATAATGTCATGAAGCCTTAAATTGTGTGTAAAATAAGGAGAAATATAATGTGGTTACTTGGTCGGTAAGGTTTTGTACTGAAGGAGCATCACGACAGGCAGATGAGAAAATACAACAGCCCTCTTTCCCTTTGGGCAAAGGCTGGAGAGAATCAGTGGTAGGCAGAGAGACAAGCATGCCAATGAAACCTACAGGCAATCATCATCATCATCACTGACGTGGGAAAAAGACGCGTCCAGAGCAGGAAAGGCACCTTAATCCTGGGGGAGGACGGGCCAGCTGTCAACAGCATTTCCCTAACGCAGCGGCCTAACCCTGACCGGGCGTGTGCTGCTTCTGGCGAGTTTCACTGCTCAGTTCATTGACTCAGACCTGAAGCCACAGTTAGCTAGCACCTGCACTTTTAGCAGACTCTTCTCCAGTGTGAACCTAGCCCTAAGTGGGTTTTTAATAGCCTTCAGGGATTAGTCACAGTTCCATGTATCTGCAGGAGAAACAGTCACTGACTCAACAAATTAACTTCAACCATTCATTCAGGCACTGCGAACAGATTAAAAACAGAGAAAGAAATGATCTCTACCTAAAAAGTGACTGCAGTCTTTTAGGGGAATACAAAACAAGTTCAAAAATGAACTGACTATAAGATAGAGATGGTGTCTCAATTTTCTGAGACGCAAACTGCAGCAGCGCTCAGAGGAGGACAGTACACACCTCCAGGAGAGGGAAAAAGACTGGCGTCCTTTCCAAGTCACCAAGGACCAGGCATCACACGCAGCCAAGCACTTCCTCAAAGACACACTGAGGCTACCTGCTTGCTACCAGGGTCCAGGCACCTAAGACACATCTATCGAGACTATGACACACTGCATTTGAGCAGGCGATGGTCATACTCAGACACAGTGAAACAGGAGGAGGCTGGCTTCTACAACCAGAAATCCAGCAGGGAACCCCGACTGCCCAGCTGAGGGGACTGAAAGCAACGGCAATCATGGGACGTCAGAGTTTGGCCAACAAAAACAGAACACTGCCGGAGACAGGGCACAGGAAGACGAGAGATGCACTATCTACATGATGGAGTTACTGCAACGGCATACACACTGCTCAGCGCTGGGCTACACGCTGTCGTGACGTCACTTCCCACCTGGTCCAACACCACAGCCCCGATGCACTCAAAGGAGAATGTAGTTAAAATCTAGGTCTAGGGACTTTCATTTCTTACATGTCCATGGATTATATACGGACAATGACTTCACTATACAAGGTTTTCTTTCTCTTTTCTTTCCTTCCTTCCTTTTTCTTTCTTTCTTTTTGACCTGTTGAGCCTTGGTCCTAGAGTTTTATGACCTCTCTTGGACCAGTTCTGCAGGAATTCACTACACTTGCCCCCCATCAGTTTATAAAGCCCTCATAATCCATCAGCTCGCCGGAAGGCACCAGCAGACAGAGCTCAGAAAGGTTACATGGGCGGTCCTAACACGGAGCCCAGGTCTTGTGCCAACACGCCTCACACGTAACACCGCCTAGAGCACTGAAGTAACGGGGCATACAAAACTCACAAAGACCATCAACGTGGAATATGACTTAAGAACTGAAACAAAGGATCTTCACTGTGGTTCTCTCTTGTGCTTCTAGAGGTGGTTTTTAGAGCATGACAACGTGTAGGCAGGGCCCCCAATGGCTGTGGAGGCCACAGGGCTGCTTGTCAGCCGCATCTACCTGCAGCCTGCTGGTGGCCCAACGCCCAGCTCTGACCATGGGTACGGGGTCAGCAGTGGTCTGATAAGTATGGTTTTACCACTGACCTGATGACAGGAGGGATGTTACTAATGGCCTGATAACAGGTGGTTGTTACCAATCAGTGGTCTGATAAGGGGGGTGTTATCAACCGAGGATCTGATAACAGGTGAGGCGTTATCAATGGTCTGATAATAAGAGGCGGGGTGACACAAACAGTCCAGCCAATAGTCTCTGTAGCAAGAGGGGATAGCCAAGGGCCTTTCTCCTTCCCTAGAGTAAAAAGGAATGAATCCCAGGAAAAACCTGAGAAATCAGAACTGCTACACCATTTCCCCCCCAGAGCACATTTATTCCTGCCGGTAATGCCAGTTGGACAGACAGGGGGTTCACAGTCCGGTAACCACCGATTTCCAAGGGGACACGAAGATCAGCACGACGGCACGGCTGCGCACCAGGTGAGCCTCAGGTGAGCCTCAGCACGCAGTTCGCAGACAGCATCCAGAGAGGTGTCTACATGAGTGGCCACAAGCGCCCACTCGCAGGAGCCTCAGGGGCCGCCGGCAGCCCCCGGCAAGTCCTCTCCTGCTGAACCCCAAACCCTAAACGTGGACGACCCTCCTAAGGGTGCCAGAGCCCCGGGAAGGGGCAGCATCTGAGGCTCTGGCGGGAGGAGTCCCTTCCCACCAGCCAGCAGCTCTCTCAGGCTCCCCGCCCCGGGCCATCTGCCCGAGTCCCCGCACACGCCACTGGTCTGCCTCACTTTCTGAATTCGCTAGACTCTTAAGGTTCTAGTGCTGGACATGTGCTTTGAAATCACGTTTCTATGGAAGCTTGCAGTCTCAACAAGTAAGGAAATTATGGCAAGAGCTACTCAGGGGCCTCCCAGGTGACAGCATGGCGGGCCAGGGGCAGAAGGTCAGCTTCTGACGCTGAGTCCACCGTGGAGACTCCGCCACTGAGGTCAGAGGTGATTCCCATGATCGGAATCACCTGGGTCAGTGCGCCATCAACCCCAAATCACCTCCAAATAGGCTCAAGTCCTACGCTCTGCTCTTTACTAAGGACGCGGCCCAGGCAAAACCAGACCTGCGCTCTGCATCTGAGCCAGTCTATTCTACAGAGTCGAATATTATCTCTGGATCACCCATGCCTGCTATTATTTGGATGGTTCAAAAAAACAACTTTCAAACAAAATGAACTACATCCTCTCGTTCAAATTTGTATTTTGATAACAATCTAAAACAAATACTATTTTACTGTGAAAATGTTACAGTAATGGTCCGTTATAAAAATGAATTTATTTATATCTTAAGATACACTTTATAATTAACTTTTGAACAAAATCAGTACACAATGTGTATTTAACCAACAGCAATTACACTACATGCTTATTTATTAAATACTTTCTTCTACAAGCCGAAGGCCTGCAATACATGAGAACTGACGGGCACTCAGTCTACAATACGCTACAGAGGAGTCTGCAGTAAACAGGCGCAGTGTGCAGGTGAAGAAACGCGGGGAGAGGGGCAGGCTGGGACTGGGACTGGCTGTGTCCACTGGGCTGAAGGAACCAGCGGGGTTTCAGTAAGACGAACAGCAGGAGGAAGTGGATCCAAACGGAGGGGACAGCAGGCAGGGCTGGGTGGGGGGTCACCTCTCAGCAGCCCTGCTCCCCGCCCCAAGGGTGGCGGGCAGTGACAGAGGCTGGCACAAGGCGGGGAAGGAGCGGGAGAGACGGGCGGGAGCCCCTCGGGGAGGGACCCCGTCAGACTGCCACCACGCGGGAGCTCATCTCCTAACTTAGCTCTCCCCCAAGAGGCGGCCTGTACAAGCACCTCGAAGGCCAGTCTGTAAAACGCAGCTGTGAAGCAACACATGAGTAACCGGGTGCCACCCGAAGCTCCTGAGCAGAGCTCTGACCGGAGGCTGGGGGAGAAATGGACACGCAGGGGCCACCTGGAGGTCAAGGCCTGGTCAGGAGTCCGTGCAGGACACAGGGAGGACGAGGCCGGCCTGCGCCAGGGCAGTGTCAGCACAAGGGCAGGGCAGACGCTACCACAAGAAAGAGAACTCCTTTCAGGCCAGAAGAACGCCTGGAAAGAGAATACCAGCTACAAGAGCTCTGGGCGTGGGGTGACCCGTGAGGGAGGGGGAACAGGAGAACTAGCAAATGCATGAACGAACGAATGAATGAGCACACAAGTAAGTGATGAGACAGGCTGGACCACCCCGACAAGGGCAGCTGGCACAAGCTGCAGGGACCTCGGGGAACACGCTCGATCCTAGAAAACCCAACCGTGGAGACATTCCGTCTAAAGTAACTTTTACAAAAGAGAAGTCAATTTTACTAACAGGAAGGGTTTCTAACTACTCTTTGAAAATCATCCTACAAGGTGCCTGAGGGCGAGGCGGCCCAGCCCTGCCCTGAGGCTCCCCTCCTGCCTCACGGCTTCAACCGCAGCCCACTCCCCCCTCCGGTATCTCTCCCCCTCTAGAACCCTAATCCCACATTTGGGCTTGGCTCCCATTCCTGGCACAGAGCTCCTAAAACCCCTGTCATTTCCTGAGTGCCAGGAGCATCTTCTGTTACCCATACCGCGCCCCTTTAACCACACCGGGGCTTGGGCTGATCCCCCAGACAGCTTCAGGATGGGGGGGGCCTGCCGGGGGAACCCACCACGTGATTGGAGGGTGGGGACTTCAGCCCACCCCAGACCTCCACGGAGGGTAGAGGGGCCTGAGACTGGGAGGATCGCCAGCGGCCAACGATGTATTTAATCAATCTCAGCTCTGCAACGAGACTGCCGTAAAACCCCTGAACGCCGGGGCCCCGGGGCTTCCGGGCTGCTGGACACATGAAGGTGCTGGGAGGGTGGTCCCCAGGGAGGGCATGGGAGCAACGTGGCCGCCCACACGGCGGCACGTAAGGCACGAAGCCATGCGCACCCCAGGCCCTGCTACACACCGTGCTCTCTCCCTCTTCAGGGTTCTTCAGCCCTGCTTCCCCGACCCCGCTGGCCCCAAGCCAAAGAATCAGCACTCAGGGGAAGCCTTCCTTCTTTCTCTGAATAGTCAGTAGATCCCTCCTGTGAAAATAGTCTAAAACACAGCTTTTACTATAAAAGTTGATATACCCCAAGGATTCAAAATAACCTAGTTTCCAGAGACTTCCCAGGCACAGTCAGTGGTTAAGACTTTGCCTTCCAATGCAGGGGGTGCAGGTTCAATCCCTGGTCAGGGAGCTAAGATCCCACATGCCTCGCAGCCAAAAAAAAAAAAAAAAAAAAAAAAACCAAAA